CAGTACCCCCAGTGGTCACGCACTCCCCACTCCAACCTGTACGGCTATTCCCAAAAGGGACCCTGGAACGCCTAGGCCCGGGGTCTGCAGCCGAGCCCAGGATAGGGTGCCAGGTCGGCGAGTCCAGGCCCGCAGCCCCCAGGCTCCCGGGCGGTGCAGGAACCCCCTCACCCCGGCCCCTAGATCCCACGAGGGCACCGCTGGCAGGCCAGAGGGCCGTGGCTCCGCCTGTTGCTCTGCACCGGGGTGGGGAGGGCGGTGCAGGTGTTAAGGGTCAGGTTTCCCGGCCTTCAGGCCTGCCGGGAACATTTTGCAACTTCCCCAAGAAAAGGCACCAGGAAAAAAAAAAAAAAAAGTCTCCTCCCCTTCACGTTTCTGGTTTGCGGTTTTGTTTCTGCTACTTTGAGGGTGGGGGACAAAAAGCAAAACTTTCTACATAAGAATGTCGCAGCACACACAGTCCCGTAAAGTGTTTCTTCTTCAGGGCGCTTTAGAAAAACCCCCTGTCCTGCTTTCTGCATGGTCAAGGAGGAGGATAATGAAACCAAAGACTTTCATTTTATAAACCACTTGATCTTTGCTTGGGAAACTCTATTAATTGAATGGGTTTGCCTTTTTTGCCAGTCCCCTTTATCATTATTTATGGGCTTTAAATTGTTTAAAGTTCCCTTGACGTTCAATTTACAAGTTTGGGGACTTTTTTTGTTCTGCCTTTTGTCCTGGAGAAAGACATCGTGTTGGAAGTGCTTTGAAAAGCCAAACAGGAGAAGTTGGCAATGAAAGGGAAGCGGGCGAGATCCCTTTTAATTCCGTCCTGTTAGTGAATGGCTCTTTTACATAATTGCAGGAGCTATTTCAAAGCCAGCCAAGGGCTGACTTCACTTAGAACCACATGGAGTCTATTTTGGGCTTTCAGATTAAAAAAAAAAAAAAAAAAAGACTGAATAAAATAGTTTAAAAAGATGAGGCTTCAATGCTTTCTGCTACTTGCAAATTGGTGTGTCTGATGGGGAATTTTACACAAGCACCCCTTTGTAAGTGCGTCTTGGGCTTGGGAGGGACTGTTGTGGGTTTGCTGGGTGTGAATCCCAATTGCCCTTCCATAAATAAAACCCATCCCAAGCTATTTCCCAACGATTGCCAGAAGCAAGAGCTGCTGCAATGACCGAATGATCAGGCCACTCAAAGTCTCTATAAATAAAAACAACACGGTTGCCAGAGAAACCAGCCTGTCTCCTGGGACTGGGCGGCGGGTGGGAGCACCCGGCCCGCTAGGTCTGCGGGTGTCTCCGCACCCACGGAGACCTGGGGCGCCCACGCTGCCCCTTCTCCACGACCGCCCGCGACCTCCACCCTGGCGGCGGCGTGAAAAGGCGCGGTTCGCAGTGCTTCCTCCTCGGTGCTGGACTCGGCGGGCCAACGCAAGTTTGCCACATGAATATTCATTTACTTGTGCATTTAGCATTTTATACTCAGCCTCCATACACCTGCATGCAAACGTTGACTGGGACAGCCCCGAAGCGTGGATACAACTTAATTACCCTCACTTTTACTGACGTCTGAGGTTTTAAGTGCCTTAATACGATCTTGACACCAGCTTGGCACCGGCCAAGGAAAGTGCCCAGGGGGTGGGCCACCTTCATCCCCGCGGGAGCCTTGCGGGGGGGTGGGGAGGGAGTTCGCAGAAGTTAACTAGAGTTGGAGGACCCAGATGTGCCTGCGGTTGTGTCCTTCCTTTTTCCTAATCCCAGGGAGCTGGGGGTGGGGGACCTCTTAAGGCAAAGTTGCAAAGATCTGCGCCCGGTGGTTTTCCTGCGCAGCCTGGGCTGAGCCGAGTCACCCCAAGGGCTCTGCAGTTTGAGGCAGTTCCGAGGTAAGCAGGTAGGAATCCAAAGGATGGATAAACCATGTACCTGTCGCTCACTACCCATAAATCTCTCCGAGGAGACGAGGAAGAACTCTAGGGGCTTTTATTATCCGCAGTCCCCGCGCTCTGAACGCTTTGCAGGTAGCTGAGGTGCCCCGAATGAATCTTGTTAATCATGGCGAAACACAAGAATCCTTTTTTGATTCCAACAGTCGTTTTCTGAGCAGTTAAGCATTAGATGAGAAAATATTACTGCATTGCATTCGAGAAAAAGCACACTAGTAAATAAAATTCATATTGATGAGAATTCTCTGAACTCACTAATAAAAGAAGATTAGTATTGTAACCCCCGCAGTCAATACTTTCCACAGCAATTTATGGATGCAAATAATATGCCATCAAATTATTTCAAGTGTAGCTATAATTCAACGGACCTAAATCTTCTTGCTGAACTTTAAATGTAGAATTATCACCAAAATAATCAAAGGAATCCCTGTCTCTCTCGGAGGGTAATCAGGCGACGGAAGTCCCTAGAACAATATTTTTCCGGCGAAATAGCAAAGTGAATGCAAATCTGCCTAGGTAAAATGAGTAACAGCTTACACAGGCCCAGTGTCAAGCGGTGAAAAGACCCGGCTGTAGCAACGTAAATCAAGCAAGGAGTCGAACATTTTTTCTTAGTATTCAAAAAACAAGGTAACCATACCAGAGACTCTGTGTCTGTTAACTATCTCATAATGAGATGGAGTATTTATTATGCTCATAAAGAAACCAGCCTTTTGCCCTGGGCTTCGATTTCTTTTTTCTTTTCCTTTTCTCCTTTTCCTTCTTTTGTAGGAGTGGAGAAAGAGGGATAGAGCTTAGAGAACCCCACAGACACCTCCTGCCCCGCGGATTCCAACGATTCCCCCTCACGCCGCCTAAGCCACCTCGGGGTCTGGGCGTGAAGGGAGCGCAGGCGGTGCAGTCAGCAGCGTCCTAATGAATTCCTTTCAAACCGCCTGCTGCCGGAGCCATCTATTACTGCGGCCTGGAGTGGGGAAACGCGCTCGAGACGTCTTTGTCCGGGTGGCGGTGGCGCGGGGTGGGGGGGGGCGCAGAGCAGGAGGAGGGCGGCTGGCGGCGGGGCCGGCGAGTTTTCCCAGCACTCTGGGACGCCGGGGATGCACCCTCCTCTCTTTCCTCCGGGCCCCTTTGGGTGGGCAGTGGGTTCCTGGCTGAAGAGGTGGTCTGGAATTAAGACGTCCCCCTGGGGGCCTTGGGGTTAGAGCGGGAGAAAGAAGAGCGAGAAAGAAGAGCTTCAAAGAATAGGGTCGATAAATTCATAAAGATCGATTTATCTTTATCTCCCAATTAAATGTGCTTGTAAGTGATACATAACACACGTCCAACACGGGCCAACTCCCCAACCACTAGCTCCTCGGCGTGAGCTGATTTTTAATGACTGATATAACAATGCCCTTCTCTCCTCTCCTCGCGAGCCAGGTGCTTGTCAGCGGTTCGGGGCGAACGGCTAGACCCGGGAAGTTGGAGCCCAGGCCCTGGAGGCGCGTGGAAGCCCCGCGCGCGCTGGTGCGCATTGCGCGGGCTGCCTTTGCCACGAACGATTCCATTTTTAAAGAGAAATTCAAGCCCTGGAAGTTTTTGTTTTTGTCATAGAGAAGAAGATAAGCACCTCCCTAGTTCCCCCTCCCTCCCCGCCAGTTCCCTTACTCCCAAATTCTGGGGTTTTACCATTGTTGAGACAGGGGAAACATCTTGAGGGAATTGGCTCCATCCTGCAGTAGGCAAAGGGGAACAGCGCGCCCTCGAGTCTTCGCTCAGGAAACCGGGTGGCGGCGCCGGGGTGAGCGCTCCCTCCGTTCTCAACGTGCTTAATTAGCGCCTATTTACAAAACGCAGCTTTTATTTGAGCAAACATCATAAAGCTTTCATCAGGATAATCTCACGTTATACAATCTGGAGGCACAGCAACTCCCCCTTCCTCCCCGAGGATGGAGCAGATAAAGGACTCGCTTTATTATCATAATTATCGTGGCTGTTATTTTGGTGCGCGCAGGCAAAGTGTGTAAATAGGTGCGATGATTAAGAATGTCATGAAAAATGAGAAGGGATCGCTCACAGGAGGGCCCAGGTCGGGATGGGGTAACCAGCAGCCTCCCCGCCCCGCCTGGGAGCGCGGGGGGCGCAGCGAGCAACCCGGCCAGCTCCCGCCGGTGGCTGGGGCCTTCCAGTTCCCGACCAGGGCCCTAGGGGCGGATGTGAAGGGGCAGGACCTTGTTCCCAACTCCGGGAACCTCTTCTGGACCACGGGCGGAGCAGCAGCACCCAACGCTAGGGTGAGCCGCGGGCAGGTTTGTTCCAGTGCATTTGAGGAAGAAATAAAACGCCCTTGGCCCAGCCGCGGTAGGTCCTAACTCCGGAAGCTGCCCTGGGAGGAGGCCTCGACAAGGCTGTCGGGCCGCGGGGTTCGAGCCGTGGAGCTTTGGAACCAAACAGCCCCCTTTCAAGTTTGCGCGGCGCGGGCTCGGGGCGCAGGTTCCGGCTCTCGGGCCCGCGCGCTCAGCCGGTGGCGCCCGCAGCCCGCTCTCCGCCAGCCCTGGTGGAAGGGGCGGAGTCCCAATTTCGCCACCGCCCCCTCCAGGCGCAGCCAATAGGCGGTGGCGCCCGGCCCCACGTGAGGTAAGCCCGGCCTGGCAGCAGGCAAAATGTGAATGAGAAAGAGGAGCGCGATTTAAAGGTGCTGGCGGCGCCCGCCGAAGACAAGTGCGCCAGCTTCGCGCGCTCCCCAGCGGCCCGCGGGAGGCGACGGACTGCGGATCCGACAGACGGACGCACCGACGGCTGCGAGCCGGGGCCGAGGGTGGCAGACGAGACGCGCGCGGGCTCCGACGGGCAGGCGGCGGGCAGCGGCTTCAGCGTGCCCGCGGGGCCCGGGTGCCCTCTCCACTCCCGGGCGCACGGCCTCACCCCGCGCACCGCCCACACGCGCTCCCGCCGGGCATGCAACCCGCCCAGGACTGAGGGTCGGCGGCGCCTGCTCTCAGGGTCCCAGCCGGTCCCTGCCCGGCGCACCCGGCTGTGCTCCCGGCGCCCAGCGGGCTTCCTGGCGGCGGCGCGGCGCGGGGACTTTTCGCCTCTCGCTGGCCTCCCCCGAGCGCGTCTATGAGCGCAGCGTTCCCGCCGTCGCTGATGATGATGCAGCGCCCGCTGGGGAGTAGTACCGCCTTCAGCATAGACTCGCTGATCGGCAGCCCGCCGCAACCCAGCCCTGGCCATTTCGTCTACACCGGCTACCCCATGTTTATGCCCTACCGGCCGGTGGTGCTGCCGCCACCACCGCCGCCGCCACCCGCGCTGCCCCAGGCCGCGCTGCAGCCCGCGCTGCCGCCCGCGCACCCTCACCACCAGATCCCCAGCCTGCCCACCGGCTTCTGCTCCAGCCTGGCGCAGGGCATGGCGCTCACCTCCACGCTCATGGCTACGCTGCCCGGAGGCTTCTCTGCGTCTCCCCAGCACCAGGAGGCGGCGGCCGCCCGCAAGTTCGCGCCGCAGCCGCTGCCGGGTGGCGGCAACTTCGACAAGGCGGAGGCGCTGCAAGCCGACACTGAGGACGGCAAAGGCTTCCTGGCCAAGGAGGGCTCGCTGCTTGCCTTCTCCGCGGCCGAGGCTGTGCAGGCGTCGCTCGGTGAGTCGGCGGCGCGCGCGACCCGGGCGCGGGGGCGGGAGGGGGCGGGGGCGAGCCAGCTCCGGGTTCCCGCTGGGGCCGAGGGGGCGAGGCCGAGCCCCCTCCCGACCCCCGCCCCGGCTTCCCCCCTCCGGAGCAGCAGGAGGACGCGGCGGAGCTGTGCCGCGAGGCCTCCGGGGGGCATTTAGAGCCGAGCAACAAGCTAGGGGGTGGGGTGGCATTTAGCTCCCGGGGCCAGCTGCTGCGCGGGGCGGCTGATGTCTCGAGGCGAATTTGGATGAGTCTATCCCCCCTCCCGCGCGCCTTGACCTGGGATCCCGGATAGGTTTCAGCCCTTAGGGGTGGTGGGTTGGGCTGTGCGTCTCAGCAGTGCGTGTGCTCGGGGTTGGGGGGTGGCGCTCAGACCTATTAAACCCCTTCACTGGGCTTGCCCGGGAGAAGCGGATTCCTGGGATGTTGTGCGTCTGCCTGTGTGTTGGGGTGTCTGGTGGGAACTTCTCCTAAGGCTACAAAACTTCCCTTTTACCAACATTATCTGTCTCAAAAAAAAAGGACACGGTCTGGGATCTGTACCTCCCTGTGTCCCCACTTTGACTGCGATGTAAATTGAGGTTCACTGAATTTTCATTGGGGGGCACAAGATGGATCATGAATTTCCCCCTCCGTCCTCACCCAGCCCCCAACCCTGGGGACAAAGGGGACGCTCTCTTGGGCCTCACGCCTCCTGTTACTTCTGCCTTAAGCTGCCGGAGGCTGGGAGGGTGCAGACGTGGCCTGGCGGCCCCTTGAGTGATGGTTCTGGGCAAAGGGCCGTCGTCTGTACTGTCTTCTTCCCTCCTTTGAGCTTTCTCACGCCCCCCCCTTCTCTGCCCCTCAAAGGCCAGGAAATCACAATGTGTTAATGTCATAGAAAGACAATCCGCTAAGGGGGGAAAAGGCCCAAGTGAGGGTGGGAAGGGGAAAGGAAGGCCAGTGTGCGAAATGTAATAAAACGCCGTTTGGTTTTGCTTTCAGTCGGGGCTGTCAGAGGGCAAGGGAAAGACGAGTCAAAGGTGGAAGACGACCCGAAGGGCAAGGAGGAGAGTTTCTCGCTGGAGAGTGATCTGGACTACAGCTCGGATGACAATCTGACTGGCCAGGCGGCTCACAAGGAGGAAGACCCCGGCCATGCACTGGAGGAGACCCCGCCGAGCGGCGGCGTCGCGGGCAGCACCACGTCCACCGGCAAGAACCGGCGGCGGCGGACTGCCTTCACCAGTGAGCAGCTGCTCGAGCTGGAGAAGGAGTTCCACTGCAAAAAGTACCTCTCGCTGACCGAGCGCTCTCAGATCGCCCACGCCCTCAAACTCAGCGAGGTGCAAGTGAAAATCTGGTTCCAGAACCGCCGGGCCAAGTGGAAACGCGTGAAGGCTGGCAATGCCAATTCCAAGACAGGGGAGCCCTCCAGGAACCCCAAGATCGTCGTCCCCATCCCCGTCCACGTCAGCAGGTTCGCTATCAGAAGTCAGCATCAGCAGCTGGAGCAGGCCCGACCCTGAGGGCCCAGGGAGAGCCAGGGCCTGGACCACCGTGGAGAAGCCATAGCTCTGGAGGGAACCACGGTGGCCTCTGCCATGTTTGAAGCAAAACTCAAAGTCACCCCCCCTCAACTTTGGACATCCCAAGCACATTGAGAGTATATTCATTAAAAAGGCTTAAAAGACTGCTTTTGAAGGGGCTACAGCTACACCTGAAGACATACTAAATATTTATTATACTATCCTACTTTGTACATATATATCTATATAAACTGGATCTCAGCTGCAGTATTTTGAAAGTTATAGGACCAAACTACCCAGTAATATTCTCCACTCACATTCCAGAAGAAAACAAAACCTCTGCTGTAATCCGCCACGCATAGCAGCCTCCTTTCCATACTTTTCCAAAGGTAAACATGACACTCAAGAACGAACCATGGGGTTTACGCTCATTTTTGTTTCTATCTTGGTTTTGTTTTTTTTTAGTTGACTGAAAAGCAGATGTTTTGGGGCAGCCTGGAAATTTGTTTTGCTTTGGTTTTGCCTGGCTTTCTTTCCTGGGGTTGCACATCCTATCTGAGCCATGTTTGAAGCACGTCTCCGTTGTGTTTAATTTATTTCAATGTAGCTTATTTTCTTATAAGTTATGACATTTAAACAATCGCAGTCTTGTGAATAATAAAAAGGAGAGAGAGAGAGAGAGAGAGAAGGGGAAAAAAGGACCAATCTCTGGGTCTCATAAGTGTGTCCAGATTTGACTGTTTAGAGGGTACTACTAGGGTATGACCAGGCGGCTGGTCTGGGGCCAGTACTGGATGAAGGTCCGCTGTCCTGGTCTCTGCAGGCTGCCTGGACGCTAGCCACCCTGCACCTTACCAGGTTTTCAAGTGAAGAGCAAGAGCTCTAGTTGGGTTATAAATTTAAGGAAGCCTAATTTTCATCTTAGAAAGCTGACATCTCCCCTTTTGCATGATCTAATCAATACCCAGAAGGCTGGCAAACTTCGGCCAGAGGAGGAGGCGGGCGCCCGGAGGAGAGAAAGCAGTGCGGGTATTGGCGGCTTTTCACAAACTCCTGATGTTCTAAACCGACCCCTGCCAGGGAGGAAACGCGTTTTCCCACCAACATCCCCGGTCGGAAAAGGAGCTGTGCTCGCTGCCCAAGCTGGGCCAAGCGCCCATAAATCAGGCTCCGGGCGTTATCTTGCGACGGGAGCAGGAACCCACCCAACCGAGCTGGGCTTGCCGGCCTCGGTCAGCTCGAAGGAGGAGGAGGCGAGCAGCGAGCGCAGGCGGGCCGGGCACCTCCCTCTCCGGGCGGGGTCGGAGGGGCGGGCCCCGGCCACCGCCCCACCCCAAGGGCTCTGGGGCCGTCGGCCGCACAAAGAGGGTAGGGGAGAGGAACGCCGGCGGGGTGGCGGCCGGGTCCGCAAGGGTGCCCGAGAGCTGGGCAGCTTCCCGCCTCGGCGGGGCGGCCCACCGGGCGCGGGAAGGGCGTGCCCTGACCCCCCAAGTCCCACTGCCCTCACCCCCGGGCACCGCAACCCCCGAGCCCAGCCCAGAACGCCCGCTCCTTTCCCGACCCCGAAGCGCGGGGCCAGGCCCACTGGAGATTGTCGTGGACGGGCCCGGGGCGCTCTAGGGGCGTGGAGCGAGCGAGCGAGCGAGAGTGAGCGCGGCCCGCTAACCTGCAGCCTGAAGGGCGAAGAGAAAGAAGCCAGAGGCTTCGCCAACCTCTGCCTTCCGCGTGGGGAGCAGGTTCCAAAGCAGCCGCGCGCGGTGCCCACCACGGATCTCAGCCCTAGAAGGGGAGACATGTCGCCCTTGGTCAATACTGGTATTGACTTAATTTACACGGCTTACAGCCCGTCACCTCCCCGCGCCGGAGGGCCATGGGGCCTGAGGCCTCCGCCGGCACTTCACGCGCAAGGTGAGGGACGGAGGCGACCGAGGCAGCGTTTCCCGCCGTGTTCCCGAGATTTCCAGGGGCGGAAAGTGGCCCAGACTTGGTTTTCGAGCACAATAAGACGGAGTGGCCGGCCCTCCGAAGGCCTCAGCCGGCTCTGCGGGGCGCGGAGAGCTTGAGGGCTCCTTGAGGTCCCATCCCCCAGGGCCCTGCGGCCTGCGGTTGGGGGCTGCGCCGGGGCCTTTTGCTGACCCCGCGCCGGAGGGCCACTGCCCGGGGGCAAAAGGCCCCGGCGCCCCGGCCGCCAGGCCCGGCCGCCGGCCGGGATCCCGCCAGTGGCCCTCCGGCGAGCGCACCCGGATCGCGCGTTGGCGTCATGTGCTCGAGCGAGGCAGGTTGCCCCGGCCACACGCCGCTACCGCGCATTCGAGGCTAGCGGAGACGCCGCCCCCACCACGTCCCGTCCCCCCACCCCCACCCCCACCCCACACCCCTGAGCCAGCCGGTCCCGGGGCGGGATGGATAGGAGCCCCCGGCGGAACTGTGGCTGGTGGTGCCGAGTCCCAGCCGAAGGAGCGGCGGCCTCCCGGGCGGGGGCGCCCCCACTCGGCGCTCTGGGCCTGCGGGAAGAACCCTGGGTATGGAGAGCCCGGTACCCGCGGCAGATCCTGGAGTGTCCTCACTTCCCGTACACCTTGACACCATAACAGGTGTAACTCCTACTCATCTTCTCCAGAAGCCCAAGGTAGGGATAGAAGGCACAGAGGGACCCAGAGCCTTGGCTACACGGACCCCGCGGGAAAATGAAGCTCCCTAGAAACTGGGGGCCACCTTCAGGAATCCCCACCCCGCTGGAGGGTCCGGGGGGACCAAGTTGCCTGGCCCTCCCGCCCTTTGGAAGCACAAGGAGAGGGCCAGGGCTCCCCCAGCCTGCGGATGGATGCGGAGCCCCTCTGCGCTCTCGGGAAGCTGCTCCCCCCAACCCCTGAATGCCGGGGCGCCCCCGAGAGCTCGGTGCCGAGGCCGAGGCCCGAGAGACAGGCCGAGGGGAGGAAGATAAACAAGCAGCCCTTGATGGCCGCTGTCATCATGGCCGTCATCATGGCTTTCATTTGGCTGCCTAATGAGTCACATCACAGGCAGAGAGAAAAATTGTCAATCGCCCGGGCCCTAATGAATTTTTTTGCAAATTGTAATCAAGCCAGGCCGTCTCAGCTGGCTGATTAATGAGACCCACGAGGCTCGGCCAGCACCTCAGCTTTTTATTCCATCCCGTCCTCCCTGCACTAAATTAACAGCAACTTGTCTGAGCTTCAAATTAACTCCCAATGATTAATTCTGATGGGGGGGCCTGAAGAATAGCTTGTTCTAATAGGCTCTGGCCTGAGATGCTGTTGGAAATTAATACACTTCCCCTTTGGCTGCCGGCTTTAATCCAAGGTTGGGTTTTGACATCACTATATTTGTTGTTACAATAAATTCCACTTACATCTGCAGATCAAATAATTACGCTTGGGAGCTCCCGGCCCTGCGCCCCCCAGCCATCCGCTAGAGCCCCCCGGGGCTGCCGGCACCCCTTGTCCACCAACCTGGACAGGGGTATGCAGCAGGGGGGGTGAAGGAACAGCCACACTAACAGGGACCCTCTGCCCTAGCTCCCCAGGGAGTTGGGTGACCCCCCCCCCTTTGGAGAACCAAGGGTACTTTGAAAACACATCTACACTTCCTTGAGCAGAGCCCTCTTGAGATTGGTCTTGGGCCCCCAAGCAACCCCTCCCACCCTCTCTTCAGGGGCTGGGGATATCCTTGGGGCAGCCTGGGCCACCAGTGCTTGGATCCTCCCCCAACCCCAGTCCCGGAGGGACTTTTTGAGATTTAGCACATGCTTCTACATCCAGCTTTTGCCTCCTAGTCTTCAGCCCCCTGGATTATTCTTTCACAGGAGCTTTTCAGCTAACTGGGGTGGACTGGGGTGGGGTGGGGGCCCTCCAGGTCTGGTGTGCCTCCCAAGATCATCCCGAGTCTATGGCTGCCTGAGCCTCTGCAGTTCCCTCTCGGCCTATGGCTGGCCCAAGCACCTGCATTCCAAGACTGCGGTTTCTCTCAGGGTCAAAGCCCGCTTAGCCTAGCGTCTGTTTGTTTGAGCTTAATTGGCTTAATCATTTCAGCTGTGTCGGGCAAGCCTAGCAGAGGGCCCCCAAGGCGGCTCCCTCCGCCTGGGTCTGTCCCAAGTGGAGTTGTCCGCTGTCCTCCCCCCCACCCTTGGTAGGGGCTTCTGGATGCACTGGAAGTCAGGTGGGTCACTCCGGTGAACCTCAGGATCTGGTCACCACCTTCCCTGATCCTAGGCCTTCCCAGATCTCATCTGCCATCATACGCACTCACACCCGCGCTCGCCAAAGAGCCCACTCTACTGCCCAGCAGTAGAGTCCACCTCGACTGGCTCTGTGGGATACTGGAGTGACCATGCAGCCAAGTGGCCTGCCCACGCCCAGCTGTGGCCTCCCTGGGAAGGAGGCTCCTGTATGCGCCCCCCTGTTTTCTGTCCCCAGAGACCCCAGGGCTCTGCTCCAGCGTGCACAGCCTAAGCAGGTGGCCTGCTTGGACCCTCTGCAGGGCAGGGCTTCCTGGAAGACCCTGAGGCCAGGGCCTCTTTCTCCGGAAGCAAGCTCGGCACCGGGGCTCTCGGGGAGCCAGGCTCTGGGGTCGAGGGGGGAAGCTGCGGTCTGGGGTCTACGGGGAGTGGCCCTGGGTGAAGGGAGGAGGCATTAATCTTCATTTTGGGCCCTTATGGTGTAAACAGGAGAAATATGATCTTGGTAACCTAACATGAATGCAAATCACAGCGTCAGAGTAATAAAGCACCTGAAACCCCGACACACAAAAGCAACACCATATGTATGAAGACAACCTGCATAAATTATAAATTACATCATAAAAATGGATTGCCTATTTGAATAGTTCAGAAGTGAGAGACCTCAGCTGACTTCCGCCCTCCGTGGCTTTGGTTTAAGGTCAGGGAGCGCATTTCCCCCCGACTGGCCGCGGACCCGGTGACTGGGCCTAGAGTGTCCTGCGGGAGCTGCGGACCGGCCTGGTGGCGCCGGGGGCGGGAAGCGCACTTGACGCAGGGCGCACACTCCAGCTCCGCGCCCCAGGAAGGGGACAGGCCCGCAACCATGGACGCCCTGCGAGGCACGGTGCCGGTGGGGCTGCAGCGGCTTACCGCCCCGTCTGGGTCCCAGGACCGCCCCCCCCCGCCCCTGCCCCCGCGCGTGCTGCTCTAGCTGCCCTGAGGCCGCTCGGATTTCTAGCTCGGACCCAGCGGTCCCTGCGAGTGCTCCCTCCCCACGGAGTGGGCTCTTTGGCGA